TCGGAAGAGAGATTCTGAAATTCTTGATTACAGGGAGCTCTACAGGAATGACTTAACAGGAAAGATTCCCGAGGAACTTGGTAACTTGAAATCACTTATCAGCATGGATTTGTATGATAACAAGTTCGAGGGGAAGATTCCAAAGTCATTTGGCAAGTTGAAGTCACTTAAATTCCTGTAAGCATGTTTATGTTGATTTGCCAAAACCTTTTTGTTTTTAAGTGATGTATAAATTGCTGCATGTTTTGCTTACTCATTTGCATGGATGAATTAGGCGGCTAAACAGCAACAAGTTGACAGGATCAATCCCAAGAGAACTCACTCGTCTCACTGATCTCAAAATGTTGTGAGTTTTCTTCTCATCTGGTCTTCTATTCTTGTTCTTTTGTTTACTTTTGTGATAGGTTTATCAGCTAATTTAAAAACCCCAATTTTGCAGTGATGTTTCTAATAATGACCTCTGTGGAACGATACCAGTAGAGGGCAACTTTGAATCTTTTCCGATGGAAAGGTATAGCAACTCTGTTTGATTGTTATTCCATATGCTTAACAACTAATAGTGGCTTACCAATCCAAACATGTTCTTGCATCAAACATGTAAAAATGGCAATACCAATTGTTCTGTTGGATTCACACATGAAAAACCAGAAGACATCTAGTGCTTTCTCGCACTTCATTTGTATAACTTTCATGAAGTTGTACCTAATTATGCATCTTAACAACTATCATTAGGTACAGTGTCTAGCTTATTCCTCCTCTACAGGAAAAACATGACCATATTTGACATGCATATGCATGAGATTAATGTAATTGACTTGAATGAAACATCCAAAAGATAAAATACACTAATATATATGCAAACTGTCTTGCTTGTTAGAATAGCCAGCAAGAAATTTGATTCAAAACCAATACACGATGGCACAAAATCTTCACATTTTAAATTTGAAGGAGGAGTAATTTGGATTTCAACAAGTTGATGCTGTTATATTTACTAAATATTTCTCCTACTCTTGTTTCAGTTTTGAAAACAACAGGTTTAGTGGTCCCGAGCTGATAGGACTTGTTCCATATGATTTTGGATGCTGAAGAAAGATAGAAATCGCATATCATCTAAGCAGACTGCAATGAAGAGGCTTAGTTAATTTACGTAGGGAAAGGGAAAGGGTGGTGTTATTTGCATATCAATATCTCCTCACCATTTTTACACTTTTTTCTTCATTGGGATAGTAAGTTGGAATCTATGTTTTCTTATTTTATTATAAAAAAGGAAGCGATATGAGAATGTTCTGGAAAAAGAAAAATGTATGTAAATAACATTGTAATGATGTATGCTAATGCTTGACCCGAATATGAATCTAAAAATGTCAGCACTTGCATGTCTATTTATCATTTATCTAATTGCATGATTGTACAACCAATTTTTGATTGCTGGTAGCATGGAATAGTTTTGTAGTAAGATATAAGTGAAACAGAAACTAAAATATCTCTCACTACCCAAAACTGGACCCCTGATAAGAGTGCAAGACATTTGAAATTGAAGAGAGCTAGAATAATCAAAATAAGTTTGATTTATATGAGAGCTGGTTTTATGAATTTATAGTTTATGTTCATAAGATGATTGAAATAGTTTATAATTTATAAATTTTTAGTTTTTTTAAATTAATTTACTTAAAAAAGTTATTTTTTAATTTAGAAATCATTTTGTTTACATGTTATTCTCTAACTTAAGTTATTAAATAAATAAAAATAAATGTATTTTACATTAATTAAACAGTTTAATCACAATCAGTTAATTATAAGTTGTTAACTTTTCAGCTATTTCTAGCTTAACAAATACGAAAATTTTATAAGAAAAAACATTTTTTTTAAATACATTATATTTTAAATTGGTTAAATTTCATTCTGAAAAAGACAAACTACTAAATTTTTTTATTAGAATATTTCAAAATGGTAAACACTTCATAAACTTACTAAGTGATAAACTTATTTTGGTAATTCATATGCTTCGAAAGAAATTAATCACCAATTATCCTTTTTTAAATTTCTATTCATAAAAAAAATTCTTTAATTATTCTAAATATAAACCGAAAATATACTGAAATAACACAGAAATTTTAAATCATTCAATATTTTCTATGGTATTAGGTGTTGCTATGAGCTAAATTTTGTTTTAGATTCACGTTACAGATATCAAGCTTCTTGAACATATAATCACGTGAATTAATTTAGGGAACCCCATTAGATAATTTGAAAGTGTGTTCGAGATGAATTCAAATGTAATTTGTTATATAATATATAATTTCTACACCTATGGTAAAAAAAAAAATGTTTTTTTAGATTTCAAGATAATGCATTTCTCTCTCCTAATATTATCATAGTTATTTTTTGGTATCGGAAAAAATTAATTTTATGATATTATGATATTTACAAATTGGTGTAACGAAAAAAGTTTGGTGGACGCTCAGGGTCTTTACTGTCAATTGCAAATCTAATAGTCAACTCTGGCGACCATATTATTCAAAGAAATTCACATTGAAGATGAAGACAACGTGTTAGGTTGAACATATACACGTGTCACAAAATGAAAGGGCGTATTAGACACGTGGCACAAACATGCAGCTTGGGCCCCATTTCTTTAAGGTTACTTTTCAGATTAATTAACAATTTATTTACAAGACATATGTTAATTTATTGTTAGTTTTAAACAAAATTTCGTTACCGAAGTTTGTTGAGTCTTAAATTTGATAGAAAAATAATTTTAAAAGGGGTAATTTTAATATAGTTAAAATTATTATAAAAAAAAAGATTAATTTTAGACAAAAATAATAAATACTCTTACTAATACTACGATAAAAAAAATGAAATTTGATTTTAGTTACATTCCAATCATGAAACGTTGAACTGTCTAATAATATCTAAAATTAAAAATAAATCAAATTTTTGAAATATAATTCTATAAAGATATACTCTAAAAAATCATTAAAAAAATAATCTCAATATTCGTAACGTGTTATAATTTTGAGTAAATTACACATTTTCACTGATACTTCATAAAATTTTATTATTCTCATTGTTGTATCTCTATATTATTTTTTCTTAATTATTTAAAAAATGTTATACTTACATCTCTTAATTTGATTAAAAAATAGTTAAAAAGAAAAGAAAAAAAATGTAATCTAAAAAAATTAGGTAGTATTACCTAATTTATTCTATTATTTTTTAATTACTATATATATATAGTAATTTTCTCTCTAGAATAAAACTAATGTTTTAAAATAATTAAATCGAATATTCTGTCTGAGAAGGGTTCAATGTTTTTCCAAAATAAGACACGTGACGAATGAGGTTGAACAGTTGAACTGTTGAAGAAACAAGCCGGTTTGCATTTGCACTTTTTTCATTTCTCTTTTCTGACATATGAACCACAATCCAGAAAATTCCCGTGAACTTGGAAGTTTCAGAATTGAGACTTAAATAAAGGTTCAAACTTTGGTACCTAGCCCTAAACCCCCAAACCCCAGAGAGAAAACAATGAAGAGGGCTTTTGTAACGAACCCTGCCCAGCTTTCACATTTGATGATGCAGAGTCAGAGGCAGTTGATGTTGGTGCAGCATGTCATTCATCCAATCAAACCTCCTTCTTTTCTCTGCAACAAACTGCACTCTACACCTTCTTTTCGATTGCCACATTTTCTGAGGAAACCCAGACAGTATCAAATCTCTTCATCTTTTTGTTCTTCTTCTTCTTCTTCTTCTTCCTCCACTTCATCCGCTGCTGCAACCTCCGTCTCCAAGGTTGGCTTTGTGGGTTGGTATTTGGGGATGATTAAGTCATGGCCTATTTTGACTAAAAGTGTTACTTCTTCACTTATTTACATTGCTGCTGATTTATCCTCCCAGGTACCCCTATTTTCCTTTTAAGCTAATCTCTTTTTTTTTTTCTTTTCTTGTACCTTTGAGATTTTGTTATGTGGAGATTGGTCACTGTGAAAGCATTGGAAATGCTTAGTTATGTTGAAAAGGAGCATAGCGGTTGAAAAGGGACCGGGAGGGGAAATGTCTTATATTTCTTGTAAAACCTCTAGGGTTTAATATGCAATTTCTGGTACGGCCTTTTCTAATGTCGTTGTAAATTTTCAAATAGATTCAACAGTGGTCTGTAGATTTTCTTAATAATATGGGAACTTTGCAATTCCTCAGCAGTGTAGCTATGATTCTGAGAGTTCGTGGTTTTCCTTGCTCTTTCTTACTTTGCTCGCTGTTGTGAATGTTTCATTAGTTGGGCATGATGTATAAAACTGGGAAAGTATAAAACTGTACTCATCTGGTGTTTAAGTAGTAGCATAAATTGTGGAGATGCATTGAAAAAGACCTAGCAATAAATTTTAGAGGGTAGGTTTTGGGGGACTTTCTGGGAGGGGATTCTTAATTTCTTATTCTATTTGGTCGTTGTGTGTTAATCTGTCTGTCCATATTTTCGTTGTCGCTTTGTTACTCACATGGTTGGGTTTGTCTATTGTTACTCAACCAAGAGATGTTTTGGATGCAATACAAATGCCTATTTTTTCTTGGAAAATGAAAATCATTGTTTGGAATTTTTTACAATTTCTGTATATTTTGGAATTAATCATTAGGATCGACCTAGTGGTGGAAGTTGGAGTAGTATGTACAAGTTCTTAGGTTTGAACTTTGTTAATGCATTGCAATTCCTACTTGTTTAAAAAAAACATCTTGGAATATATGATTTTTCTTTTCTCAATTCTTCAATTTTTAGTTTTTAATACCAATCGAGGTTGAACACTTCTCTCTTGCACCTTATCCCTTCCCTACTAGAAAATATGCCCATATTTAATGTTTGCCCATGCCTTGAGTCTGATTTCCTCATATGGAGAATACTTTATCTAATTGATATTTCTTTTTGACACATTGATGGTTAATCGTTTTCCTGCAGATATGCCAGTCTGCAGCTTTTTAATATTGTGAGAATATTTGAAGTGAATGAGTTCTTTCTGTTTTCTCGTTTACCTAGCAGCAAATTGGATGCGGAGAACCTTGGCTTTTGTTTTCTTTTGATAGATAGATCATTGCTTGTTGACTTTATACCACATTTTGTATTAATATAACTCATTCACTTTCATGTAAAGTTTGTTGACTTTCCACATTTACTTTATGCTTGGGCCTAAGGCTAATCTGTACTTATTTTGCTTCTAGGTATTTTTCTTTGAGCTAGAATGAATAAGTAGGAACATAAGCTCTAAAGGAATGGAGTATGTTTTAACATTTGTATCAGTGTGTACTTTTAATCGGTAAAAGAAATAATTAAGAAAGGAGCAAAAGGATACTTCATAATCGATAAGATGCATTTATATAGCCTCAAATTTTATCCTGTGATCCCGTTGTTGTTGCATGTTTTGGATGTGCAGGTGAAATATGATCTTGAAAGTACACATGTTTCATATGCAATATGATGAGAGTTTTTGCTGCTCACTTAATCTTCCGAAGTTTATATGGGTTGAGGAGCCTCAAGGCTGACTCTCTTTAATTCTTCCAATGCTTCTGTTGGTTCACATTCTTGCACTTACTTGAGGCCTTTTCTAATCTAATAAATATATATTGTTTCACTCAGTTTATATTGCATGCTTAATGCTCATTTGTTGTCAGCCATACTCATGGTATTTAGATCGTTATTCCTTCAGACTATTGTGCGGGAATCTTCAGAACCTTTTGATTTTATAAGAACTTCGCGCATGGCGGGATATGGGATGATCATTTTAGGACCATCACTGCATTTCTGGTTCAATTTTGTGTCAAAGCTTTTCCCAAGGAGGGATCTTTTCTCTACATTGAAGAAAATGGCCATGGGTCAGACACTTTATGGACCGGCCATGACTGTTATTTTCTTCTCCTTGAATGCACGTTTACAAGGTATGTTCAATTCTCGAGAGTGATATTTAGCACGCAATTTCCTTTTGTACATTTTTTCTTTTTCTTACCTTTTTGCTTTTGGAGGGGCTGGGATGTTCTTAATATTATTATGCTTCTATTTGCTTGGCCTTTTATTTCAAATTGTAATGCTAACGAGTGTGGATTACTGCACAAAAGACCATAAATTAGAGATTTTAATAATGTAATTACATAATTGATGAAGTGGAACTCTAATTAATGAGGCCATTTTAGAACCGACAAGATTGAACCAGATGACTATAGTAGTTATTACTTATTAGGCTATCTATATTAGTTTGTTTCCTAAATTTTTGAATCCTTAAGTTCTTACTTCCATTTCTAACACTAAAAATACACCTTTTCTTGCAAGCTTACAATGTGACACTGCATTGTTGTGGGCCCTGTTTTTAATATTCAAATGTTATGAAATTTTGGTCTTCCTTCAACAATATAAGCTGGTTTTCCAGATGCAGGGAATATTCCCCTTATACATGCATCTTGATTAATGTTGTGTTGCAAAGTGTCCGTGTGCTGTTATTGAATTGCACTTTACCTTGCAGATTTTTTTTTAACATTTATTTTGTGTTTATCAATGTGTTGAATTTCATGCATCAGTTGTTTGTCTGCGTTTGTGCATTAAACATGTTTTTTGTCGGCAAATGTTATTAATTAGTGCATTAAACATTTAACATGAAAGAGTTTGAGCAATGGAAAAGGAAGGAAAAGAATAGGGAAAGGAAACAAGGAGGGTGAAGTTGGGGAATAATAGTTATTCTCTCTATTTTACCCCCTAATTTAACAAGGAAGTAGCATGAACACTTCTCTCTTGCACCTTATCCCTTCCCTCATTAAAGAACCTCCAAACAAAGGGTTGAGTCACTTTTCTTTTCCCCATTTTCCTTTCTGATCACTCACGCTTGGCACGACTGAAGAAGAGAAGTTTCACAACTAATGTGGGAGTGGGACTGAAGTGCATTGTAGATATTCAGATATTGTTGGATCTACAACTTTTTTTTCTCTATATTTAGTGGATTAGCCTTTGTGTTGTACTTTACCGTATTGTTTGGTTGGTGGGAATTGAAGAAGAGGGGAGCGGACTCAGAGGAGAGGTCTTTTAAAGAATATCTTGTTTGGTTCAATGTTAGCTGGGGACGTCAGGGCAAACTAAGGATAAAATCCCTCTCATTTTTTGTCTCCCTTCGGGAGGATTTGGATGGAAGGAAAAATACTTAAAGCTTTAAGACTGTGTTGACTAAATACAATATTTTATTTCCTCTTTCCTTCCTTTGAACCAAACAATATGCACATACATGAGTCCAAAATTTATGAATAAAATGAAGCTGTGTATTAAGAGTCAAGACCATTTCATATTTCATTTTCTGCTTGATTCTTTGTGATTTGCTAAACAGTTTCTCTTGGTTGCCAGGTGAAACCGGTTCAGAGATTGTTGCACGTTTAAAACGTGATTTGCTTCCTACATTGTTGAGCGGGATTATGTACTGGCCTATATGTGATTTCATAACTTTTAGGTTCATTCCTGTCCATTTACAGGTACATGCTCATTGCCTTTTTTGTCTTGCAGCATGCCATGAAAATTAAGTTTGCACAATGCATGGCATGGAGTCCAATATATTTGCATTCTACTTTTTTGTTGTTGACTCGTGATTTTCTGCATTGTTTCATTTTAACAGCCATTAGTCAGCAATTCATTTTCGTACTTGTGGACCGTTTATATGACCTATATGGCAAGCCTAGAGAAAGCAAGCGCACTGTAAGCAATGCCAAATTTTGTTTCATGATTGAGACCGGAATCTGCAGGATACAATCAAATCTTTTGGGGTGTCTGCAGGGAATTCTGATCTCACATTGTCCATGGCTATGCTACTAACCACGACACTCAGTGTTATCCATTTTTATTAATCTATATATTCCTCTTATTTGCTTTTGTAGTGTAACTCGTTTATATGTATGGGACCTATTTGTAGAAGCTCTATGTTAAATTTTTGTATTGCAGATTTTATTTTATTTTCCTCTTCACGAAATGGATTTTTTAATCATTGTTGCGTAATGCATCTCCTTTTCGATAACATCCTTGAAATTACTTGACCCAGAAAGTACTACATTAAAAAATATTTAAAAAAAACAAAAAAAAACCAGAAGCCTTCGATACTTCAAAAAGAACTTTCCATCCTATGCAAGTGTCACGCACCTCGAAAATGTACAGCACTTCGAATAATCATTTTATACTTTTCAATAGTTATAAATTTGTGTAAGAATAAAATATGGACTATATAAATTGATGTTCTAATTTTATGTTAAAAAAATTTTTGGTTAATAAAAATCATGTCTGGCGATTATGAGTTAGGGTTTGAATATTAACTTTGAGATATTATATAAATTATTTATAGAAAAAATAATATATATATATATATATAAAATTTATTTATTTTAAGAGT